TCAATTTTAATCAAGTTAGACACCAAAGGGATAAAATTATACGTTCCTACGAATTAATAATATTTTATAATTCCAAATAAAATAAAATCACTCACTTACGTTTGTTGCAAATTGTACACCATGGGGAGGATCTAGATTTTAAATGAAAATTTTTTCGATTCTATGTAAAGGTGTTTGACCCGAAAAGACTATTTAGATTGAAGTTACCTGCGCTCCCAGGGAAAACAACTTCAGATATTGTCGAATTTTCCATCCTATCAAAAATTGAGTTCAACGAACTTCCATTATTAAGTACTATAGCAGAGTCCATCCATACAAAGGTATCATATTCAGAATATATTTCCTTTTAATTAATTAATTAATTAATTAATTATATAAATTATGTAAAAACTGCTAAAATGTATATTTTCCATGCATAAACAAGGGGTAAACGGAGATCCGCAGAAATAATGCTCCAATTAAATTTTCGCCATTCTAGTCCACAAACGGCATTTAATTCTTCCATCTTTTTTATTTAAAATTATTAGAAAGGAAATTTAATTCTTAAGTTATAAACTCAAAATCACCTTGCTTTTATCCTCACTAACACCCCCAAGATCATAACCAATAATATTTTGAGAACAACCAAATTGTTTTTTCAGATCAAATAAAAGTTTTTTCATTGTATTATAGTAAGGGATACTCGAAGCAGTAACAAATGTGAAACCTTTACTTCCTGGCCTTTTCATCTTTTAAAAATTATTAATATTTATGTTAAAGTAGACTTTAATTGAGGACCAGTGCTGGGTATTTGGCACTTGTTGGCTCAGGCTCCGACCTTTTACAAACCTTGGCTCCAACTCCGGCTTCGGGGTTTTCGAATCCTTAACACCGGCTCCCCGCATTTTAAAACCTTGACTCTGACTCCGAGGTTTTCAAATCCTTGGCTCCTGCTCCGGGGATTTTAAGCCGAAGCAGTGCGTAATTGAAAAACCTGGTTACGGCAACCGGCCAGGCATTTCAAACCTAGCTAGCTCCAGGAGCCATAACCAGCACTGTTGAGGACGAAGTAATACTAAACGACATCCCCTTTTAATTTAGACTCTAGATCTTCATCGATCACTACATCATTTATTCTATACAGTATAGTATTCTATACATTTATTCTAATAGTAAACATTCATTTTTAGATAACTAATTTAAATTTAAACTTACAGGTATTTTTTGTTCAATTTTGTATTTGTCAGTAAGTTTATATTTATCAATTAATTGTAGATGTTTACAGTCAAATCTTTTACCGCTAACCATATTCTTAGTTAATTTGTCGTTTGTTTGAAAAATAAATGAATATGCCATTTCCTCCCCACAACATTTCGAAGGCCATTTTGTATCGTTTCTAAAATAATTAATCAAAAACTAATCGACGCCTTTCCAATAGAGGTCAGCGCGGGACGGGATCCCGACGGGATTTTCCGAGATCCCGATCCCGAAATCCCGGATTTTTTTGATTTTCGGGATCATTCGGGATCCGGGATTTTTTCGGGATTTATCCCTCGGGATCCCGTCCCGGCCTCTGTTAAGAAAAAAATCCCGACTCGGGATCCCGGAAGTGCGATTTTGCCGACCTCTACTTTCCAATAAGCTAGCCGTAGTGAAAAAATCTTCCCCAGTCGCCTATTTTAATTTTAAAATCCGCAGATTCAAATGGTCTGGCGTAAGTTGGTCGCCCTGACACATATGGAAACCTATTAATAGTAACAATACCTATTAACTCATAAATAATTACCCTGGCCTACAAATTACCTCCACCAGACAGAGGTTGAAAAAATAATTACCTAGGGTATATAATTTGCATATACGGTAGTATACAAATTTGTACAATTTTGCATATAAATCCCGTGTCCTGCAAAATCCCCAAGACCAAAAAAAGTAAGGGATTGCGGACGCGGAATCTCGCAAAATCCCGCGCGAGATCCTATCCCTCCCTCATTGGTCACTAATTAAAACCAACCTATTCTTATCATTTTCAATACATTCTTCTAATCCTTTACTTCCAAAAAGTAAATTTGAATTAATTAATTTTTTATTAAGAATTTTGTAATTATCATAACTGTTATTTGGCCACATTTGTAACAAAAAATAAAAACAAAAAATAAATGTTAAAGAAATTAAACATAAAAAGTATTTTGTTGAATTATTATTGTTTGTTCGTCCATTTGTAATAGTTTTTCCATTAATTAAATTATTTAGTGGAAGATACATAATTTAAATTTAAATTTATATAAATTCTAGTAAAATATAAATTTTCTATAATAAATTAGAGTTATGCAAAAGCAATTATTTAAAAAATATCATGTAAATTCCTAAAATAAATATTAAAAATAAAAAAGAAAGGCTAAATTCGTTTTTTATGAAATTAAAATTTTGAATTATAAAAGTCAATCGCTTTTCAATTTTGAGACATTTTAAGACACTTATATAAATTTTTGTATTGTCAGAATTGCTCTCGAGTTGCCAATGCCCCCTACCATCTACATAAATACATTATGGAGTTCACTTATGCTTGTAGCATTTTCACATTTCGCTTTTTGGGCGAAAAGTGAAATTTTTATACATTTTATGTGAGTTTAAGATGGTAAGCGGGAGAAGAAAAGAAGTAATAAAATTAAGAAGATTATTTCTCTAAATTTTTCTTGCAACGCTGAAGAATAAAGAAATCTGGCTTCTAAGCCTTCCAAATTTCCTAAAATTTTTGCCTGTGGCGCTTAAATTTGGAATACTGGCTTATTATCCATCAGAGCGGCGTTGCATTATTAAGCTAATAATTTATTGTTAAACGTTTTTAGAAAATTATTTTAAATTTATTTAAACGAGCTAATTCTAATGAAAAATGAAGTCTGTGTAAACATACATTTTTGAATTTATAAAATCATGAGAAAAATTTTTATTTTAAAAATAATTCTTTAAAAAATGTACGAAAGTGAACGATTTGAATTCAAAAATAATTCGCGAATTGCTTTGGCAATTACAAAAAACGTGGAGATTATTTATTTAATTAACAGAGTGATTTTTTGAATACAGGTACAAATTTGTACACTATTGTGATTACCAGTGATTTGAAGCTCGTACCAAAATTCGTACTCGTACCTCGTACTCGTACATGGTACGAAGTACGAGTACGAGCAAAAAAATGGGGCAGGTACGAAGTACAAGTACGAGGCCAAAAAAGTGAAAAGTACGAGTTAGAGGCCTAAGTATGAGCTCGTAATTCTTTTACTTCGAAGCACTGGTGATTAGGGTTGTCGGTTTCAAACCAAACCGAACCGAAAAACCGAAATTTTCGGTTCGGTTTTTCGGTTAGGTTTCGTTTAACTCGGTTCGGTACTAAACATACAACTATTCTGGTAGAACTGAGTAAAATTACTTCTATTGAAAAAAGAATTGAAAAAAATATTTTGGAGAAATGTATTTTGGAAATTCAAGTAGAGAAAAAGTTCCCAAAAATTTTCCATCATTAGGTGTATAAGTTTAGTTCGTTTTCCGATACTAAAACGCCGAGACTGAGATTTCAAAAAACCCTGGAAATTTCCCGACTCGGGAACCGAGACCGAGAGTCTCGAACATTACTAGTATATATGAAAGGGAGACCGAGAGAAACAGAGACCAAAACCGAGACCAAGAATTAATTAATCGTTATGAAAAATTATATATGTATGTCTAGGTAAATTGAATAATAAAGGAGTATGAGTTAAAATTTTATTTATTTCAAATCACGGACCCAAATTCGAAAAGAACTTTTAAATTAAAAAATTGGCATTTTTATTCGAGCTTAAATTTGGTTTTAAAAATATTTGAATTTTAACTGGAGGAATACTTAATTTAAATTTAAAAAGTGGTGTAAAAATGAGTATTATTGCAAAAGTAACAAACTCAGGGACTTATATCATTCTGAGCATATGTACCGTATCCGATATATCCGTGGGTATCTGAATATTATTCGTATCCATGCATTTACAGTGGCGGCAAATTAGTTAAGAAAATGGTTAACGCTTTGTAACTCCCTTCATCGTTATCCGATCTGGAAGATCTAAATTTTAAAAAATAGCTTAATTTCTCTCTCAGTTGACATGTTTCGGCGTTTTTCGAAATTCTGATATTTTCGAAAACTTTTTGAGCAGTCTAAAAGGTACTACTTTTTCGACTTTCCGGGGAAATTTTTTTGAAGTCTGTAAATTTTATATGAGATTCTTCTCTAGATTCTGAATACAATGCAAAAAACCGCATCCAAATCGGTCGAGATCCTACCGAGTTACGAATTTTTGAAAATCGAAAAAACGCATTTTTTTGCCATTTTTTGTCGATTTTTTTTGCAAAAATGGGTGTTTTTTCGATTTTCAAAAATTCATAACTCGGTAGAATCCCGACCGATTTGGATGCGGTTTTTTGCATTGTATTCAGAAGCTAGAAGAGAATAACATATATTTTTTACAGACTTCAAAAAAATTTCTCCGAAAAGTCGAAAATGTAGTACCTGTTAGACCAGTCGAAAAGTTTTCGAAAATATCAGAATTTCGAAAAACGCCGAAACATGTCAACTGAGAGAGAAATTAAGCTATTTTGTAAAATTTAGATCTTCCAGATCGGATAACGATAAAAGGAGTTACAAAACGTTAACCATTTTCTTAACTAATTTGCCGCCACTGTATATTGGGTATTGTATTTTATATTGTATTGGGGGGGGGGGGGTACTTTATGTATATAATACATGCATTTAGAATTTACTCTATCGAAATATTGTTTTAATAATTAAAAATACCTATATTATGAAGCTCATGAAAATAAGATAATTATCGAAGCATTGTTTTAATTTTATATATTAATTTTAATTAATCTACGAATATAATTTTAAAAATAATTAATAAAAATTATCTAAATTTTATTTAATAATAATTTTCAAATTTAAAAGATTTCTCTGTTTTAAATAATATCATCTATCCATCCAATAAAAATTTTGAATTCCTTAGAAGTATAGATTTATACGCTCTTATTCACAAAATTTTAAAAACCATTAGTTATTTTATTACATTTTGGGGATGGAAACAACATCAGATAACATTCAGAACTAAACTTAACAACTCTAAATTATAAACTAATTACTATTATATAATTCCAAATCATTCTTTTCTATTTTTTAATTAGCCCCACATTTTTTTATTTTTGCCCAATATATATCTGTCCTAGCTGCAGAACATCCATTAGGTCCTCCATTATGTATGCGAGACCATTTTTCACAAACACTTGCATTGGGTCTTTTGCAAAGGCTGAAGTAGCGATTCATATAATTCTTAATTAAAGTTGAGATTTTGTTTAAATTAAAACTTTATACTGTCATGCATTTATAAGCACAATCTTTGTTGAGTGCACAACGCTGCCATCCATCTTCAACCTTTTCGCCCTTTTTAAGATCAGGAGTACCGCAATCCTTGTAGTAGTTTAGTTTAATCTGTTTAATATTATGAAATTATGTGTATTCAGAGATACTTATATCTCAATAAATCCCTTTGAATGGTCCTTTCTATTTGAATTGTCCTCTAGACATAATAGAATGCCCCAGGAGGATATTTGACAAATAGAATGACGGCCATTCTTCTAGAGATAATAGAATGGATAAAAATGATACTAAAAATTATAAAAAATACTCTCAACTATAGCTCGTCTCTGAAATTTTATGAATTTTACTCGTACCTCACGCTAAAATGTAGAGAAAACTCAAAAATGAAGTGATTAAATATCTCACAAACTATTCGTGGCCCTATAATGCAATAATAATATTCTAGTATTATTATTCCCGTCCTTGATTGTCTTTAGATTGTAATCTCAACTGAAGATTTTAATAAAAAACAGTTAGGATAGGGTGTACATAAACAATAATATATCCAAACCTGTAAGTACCCACAACTAACAGCATCATCATCCCATTGACATTTAAGTGCCTTACATTGGGACTCAACAAAGCAGATACAATCTAAACATTTTTTATTTGGTACGGGTGCTTTTTGTGATTTTATTAGGACAAACAACATTAAAAGGATTAATGCTTTTAGGGCAAACATTTTTTTTAATTTCAAGGATTTTGAGGGAATTTTAGGGATTTTAATGAATTTTTGATTTAATTTTAACATAAATTTAAATCCTTAAATACTCCAAGTTCTAGACAAATATTAAAGCTGTTTAATTATTTAATAGACATTTTTATAAAAATATTTTTAAAAAATATTATTGAAGAAATATTCCCCACGTTGAACAATTTATTATTTTGTTTATAATTTAAATAATATTTTTAAAATGAGGAAGATTGGAAACTGCTATGTAAATATTCTATATATTTTTTATTAAGTGCAATTGACAAAATTATCATTACCTTCCAGGTTATAGTTCTCATAATATTTTTGAGAATATTTTTAAAAATTTTTTAAATTGTTATAAAACAATTTTTGCTTACCGTTTATGTGAATCATCTGATTTTTCAAATTAGTTTGGGTCTTGATCTAAGTTCTGTCATCTTAATTTTTCACATTTAAATATCTTTAAATTAAATCCCTGGTGTGTGAATTAATCAGTAGATATTATAAATGAGCCATTCGTCTGCTGTTATAAAATGAGGAACTTTCAACTTTTAGTTTTGGTGTTGGGGCTTAAAATCTTAGTTTTTTCGGTCTTGATGGTGAATTTTGTATTTTTTTTAAAAACATTATAATCATATTATGACTATAACTATAATCAGAATTAAAATTGAAAATTTAAAATTGAAAGTTGAAAATTGAAAACTTATTACTATAATCATAATTAAAATTCAAAATCGAATAATAAAATGTAAAATACCTGTTTTTCCAAGTTTTTCAAAAAATTTTGACAATTTTATTATTGGCAATTTCAATTAAAATTCTCATTTTTAATTGAGAGCTAAATTTAAGCCCCTGACTTATTTAGTTTAACAATAAAAACTTTATTAACAGTATTTACTTCAAGCTTACAAAACGATCCAGTATTCTTATAAATATAATCAACCATTCGATTTTTTTGTTTTACATTCATTATCAATACAAAACGTTCCTTTATTTTGACATTTTTTAAATAAATAAATTCTCTTTCTTCTTCCCAATCATTTTTGATTATTAATCTAATCTCAAGCATTCTAGCTTTGATTTGGATATTTAACAGAACAATCAAATATGAGAGAATAACAATAATAAAATTACATATTATGACCTATTAATTTTAACATATTAACAATCTCACAAATAAAAAACAAACATAAGTATTTTAAAATTTATTATAATATTTTCAATAGTTCAATTAAATAAGTTAAAAATTTAATTATAAAAAATTTAGCCGTGAGGTCTCTCTAATGTTGTCAATTCTCGTTGCAATTTATTATATTCCTATTAAAATAAAATTATTTTTAAATTTAATTTTTAAATAAAAATAACTCAAATAAAAACATACCTTCAAATAATAGGCTAATGTTTTTGTCAATCCTTGTTCAAAAGGAACCAAACATTTCCATCCCAATTCTTCCCGAATTTTATTAAAATTCTTTAAAAAATTTGATAAATTAATTAAAAATTATTTTAATTAAAAATTACAATAAGATATCGCCTGTCGTGATATGGACGGTCAGCAATGGGGGCAAATTGAATTTTGGTGGCTTCTCTAAAATTAGTAAGGAATTTAATGAAATTTTTTTAAGAAAGCAGAGTAATTGAATTGATGGTTATATGATAAGAGTTTGATTTGATTATTTGCCTTGGAACAAGGCTTTCGCCAGTTGCGAGTCTTAAGGCCCGTAATTCCCGTGAAAATTCTCATATATGGCTCAAACTTTGACCAGTGTCAACGTTTTTATTTCTGATTGAAGAATATATATAAATTAAAATCGGTCGAGTTCTTATCGAAAAAATGTAATAAAATCTCTTGATATACAGAAAAGAATTTTTTAGAATTTTAATTCTGTAAGTGAAACTTATTTTTACACCATAATATTTTAACTCTACATAAAATAGTAAAATTACCTATTCATCAACTTTTGAACTTTATTGTGAATCATTTCTGTCTAATATTTTAAAAAATTTACTGTTTTTTATGATTTATGAATACCAGGTTAATGTTGCATTTTTCAAAATCTGTCCCAATATTGTAAATTTGAGCATTCTGACCATTTTCTGTCTAAATCAAAAAAATTTTTAACTTTAAAATTCTCTAACCACAAGTCTAATAGCTTCTGCACAATCATCTACATAAATCCAGCTTCTTAAACAGAACGGATTTAAATTTTTATTATGCAAATTACCTTTTATGCCTACCATCTCCCATCAAAGGATAAGGCTTGCCTTCCAAGGCAAGCCTTGTAAATTTTGGAATTAATTTGGAGTAAGCTTGTCTAGGGCCATAAACATTGTTCTGAAAATTATTTATAATTCATTGTTTTTTGGATTTTTGTATAAAATTATGTATAATTCATTAGTTTTTTACTTTGATAGATTTTCGTAATATTAATTATAATTTAAATTGGTTGATGGTTGAATGCTTTACTAGTAAACCTTTAGTAACTGAGGTATATCTTTTGAATTCGTAAACATAAATTGTGGTTATTTATTATTTAATGGGTATCAGAATGAGCCGTCTACAACTTAAAATAGTTGCAGAAACATCTGCAATTATGGACAGCTTACTGTCCAAACTAATTTTTTATTTGGACATTCCAAGCCCTAATCGCTATTACATAATTTTTCTTGCAAAAAATTATTTTGCTTACCATCCTGACCATTACATATGGCAGCCTGTATGAGTGCTGAAAATTAACGGGATTTAATTTTCTCTGAGATGAAATTTGAAATTATAAAGATTTCCTTAATTACAAAAGCTTTCAAAAATTAATCAAAACAAGAAAATGAGAATTTCAAAAAATACTCACAACCCTCACATACGTAATAGCTTCGGACAATAACTTCACAAGCTGCTTTGCTAGCTGCATATGGATTTGTGGGGTTCAAAGGGGATTCCTCATCCTTGGGTATATTCTCATTTACTGAGTCACCATAAACCTCATCTAAATATTTGAAAAATAAAAAAATTGGAGATTTCATTATTTTTACCCGTGCTTATATGAACAAATCGTTTAATCTGCCCATGCGTGTTAATTGCCTCCAATAGGGTGGTTGTGGCGATTACATTTTCTTGAATAGTCCCAACTCGGTCTGAGTAGGACTCGTCTACGTGTGTTATTGCAGCAAAATGAATAACCTAAATGATATATTTGAAAATTCTAAAAAATAGGCCTTTTGCTAGAGTTCGGACAGAGACAATATCTTATTCAAAAATCTTCTTGTCAGATCTCAAGTTCGATCTCTTTTTGGCTCCCTTCCATTATAAACTGACCGTATCTATCTGATAAAGCTTCAAAAGACTCTCAACTAAAGGCTGTTCCAGCAATGTACCATGTACAAAAGTATAACGACCAGACTTTCTAACTTCAGGGATAACATGGTCTGCTGATGCTCCAACTGCCAACTTGTCGATATTGATAAATCTGTCAGAAATATGGGTTTATGATTTATTTATTTCTCTTAACATGAGTACTAGTAAGATAAAATCCCGGATTTCGTGATTGATCGCTTTGATTTTTTACAAAAATGGCTATTGCCACAACTTATAAATTAGTTGGAATGATTTTCTCCAAATGGTGTGAAGGAATTATTTTGATAAGTTGATAACTTTTAAGGGATTATCAAGTAAACAAAATATTCTTATAAAAATTACTTTACTTTGAACTAGGCCATTTATCAAAAATATAATTGATAAAATTGGAGCCAATAAAACCACATCCGCCCGTTATCAAAACGTTATGAGGGCCATTATAGTTGTTTTTATTTTTGGTTGTTTTTGAGAGTTCAGGACAATTTTTATTCATTTAAAGTTAAATATAATGCAAAAATCTCTCTCAATAAAAAATTTTTTTTGAGTGAAAGGATGGAGATTAATACCAAATTTTATATAGATGAAGGAAAACGAAAGTTAATTATTTTGTTGTTCACTCCCGCTAATAAGCTTTTTGCCGATGGCAACGAATGCGAGGATTTGATGAGAGAATTTAATTAAAGAAGATTTTTATTCTTTTATTTTAATGTGTAAATATTTCTTGATTTTTAGAATGATGCGCCAACAAAATTAAACAAGTTTTTTTGTTGAAAGACGCTTCTCTAAAAATTATCGCTTTTGGTTGGCAACTTGAAACAACAACAAAAACGTTGTTTTAAAAATAAGAGAGATAATCGAGAGAATGATTTTAAAACAGGAATATTTTTATTTGTTTGATCCATGCGACTGTTATTTTATTTTTTGATTATCAAATAAAAATGGCAGTTCGGGGAAACTCTTAGGATAACCTAAACCGAACCAAGACCAATCATGGATATGAAAGAAAAATATTAAGAGATTAGGAGATTTTCATATTAAAATAAGGTACTTAACCGTTATATGTTTTCAACTTGAATGTCAGCGAATTTTAATCAGCTTTATAACCCGATAAATTATAACCGATATATTATTTGGTGAATTACTATTTATCGGATTATAACTTTTATCGAGTGATTAGACCTGATCCATCAAATTGGAAAATATGTAGATACCGCTTATTAGGGACATTCGAATGATAAAAAATTAATTAATCAAGCATCAAAAAGTTCAAATCAAAGTCGGCTGGCAATTAGTTTGTGGGCATATAACGGATTTGTATCCTAATTAATCAATGTCTTATTTCGAAAAATATTATTTGACGAAACTATTGATTTAGAAATTTTTAAATTTGTGATTGTGTTAATTAGACAGATAAAATTAATTTGAAAAATATATTTAATAAAAAATTTTTGAAAGGGGAATATTTGTGTTAGTATATTTAATTAAAAATTAAAATTAAAAATGTGATTTTCTCGTTTTATTGATTTAATCCAATAATTTAACGATAATCACCACAAATTAATTATGACCTGCTTTTTAAACGAGAAGGAAGATAACATAAATAAATAAAAAAGGAAAATTAAATATAAAATCCTGCAATTTTCAATTTATTTTTGGATAAATTTTATTAAATGTAAAAAATCTGAGAAATTTTTTTGGGAAATAACTTTATTTAAATAAAAAAATTTTTTTTAATTTTATCATCTATTAGACCGGCATGGTGACATTCCAAAATTGGTTGTATCAAAGTAGAGCAAACTAAATGTTGTAATCCTAAAAGTGAGAGCTTCTCTCCTGTACAGAATATCTCGCATTGTTGGGCACTGTTTTGAGCTATTTGTCTATGTCTACAACAATTTAGATTATTCCGGCCTTGCGAAGCGCATTCCAAAAACTAATAAATGAAAAAAAGTTAAATACTCTGTAATCTACGGACAAATCTTAACTATTATATTATCTGAACTAAAGTTAATGAATATCGCATTTAATCTAATATAAAGACAGTCTCTATTACAACGACAGTCTTTAATAAAACTACACCGAGAAGAGGTTGAAAATTAAAATGACATCTCGTTATATTAGATATTCTCTCCTTAGACCTATTTCATTCTATCCTTTTTCCTTTAGCTCTAATCATTTAATAAAATTTGTGTATTTTAAGGTTTCTAAAGTATATTTATGGATATACATATCCGATCTAATTGACCTTGGTGGGAAATAAGTGGAGAGAGGCCCTACATAGGCATAAAAGTTCCGAACTATTCCATCCCAATGCCAAAGGTTCAGAAACCAAAAAGTTATAAACCCAGAAATATACCTTACAAACAGTAAACTTCCCCGAAAAGTTTTTAGAAATTTAGTGAAATAAAAATAAATTCAAAAACATACAGGACTAATATTTAAAATCCCACATTGCCCCTTTTCAAAAGCCATTTTAATTTCCTCTCTACTAGTGTCATATCTACATAAAGGAAGACATCCAACAGGCATTAATCTTTTAACACAACAAGAATGTAATTGAACATTTGCCTTTTCAAGAGAAACACAGGGGATGAATTTGGGAGGAGTAGAGCATTGTTCTGGGGATTCTGTCGAGGAAATAATTGTTGAAGTATTTTCTGAAGGTTTAATGGTTCCGTTGTTTTTATTTTTTAAGTCTTTAATTGATACAACAAAGGAACGAAGTAATTCTTTGTTGGTAAAGAGACGGTCAACAATGGAGTCGATTTCTGATTAAATTTGGAATTTAAAAATTTTTAATTTTTTTATTTCTGATAAATTAAGGTATCACGAAAAATTAAGACAATAACTGCCTCAAGACGGGAAATTATCTAAAACTCAAGTCTTTTTTTGGTCCTAAAAGGCAAGTGTACATATTTCCAATCGTTCAGAGTGCCTATATTTTCTATTTTACGAATTTTTCATATGCCGGGGGTGGCGCCCGTCTCGTACCTCGTTCTCGTATCTTGTGAAATCTCGTATTTTTTAGAGGTCTCGTATCTCGTGTCTCGAATTTTGTGGCATAAATTTTATTTCTAACTTTACATTGCCTACGGAAGGTTAATTTACCTATGGTAATTTACGGAAATTCTCACCTTCTCCAGATGCAAATCTACCATTTAAATCCAAATCCACTTTCTTACTTCCATTCCCTTGTGAAAATTCCAAGGCTTCCGGTTGCTTAAGAGAGCTAGGTTTAATTTTAAAACTCCAAAGTTGGTTAGCTGGCGGTGGTGGAAATTCAGAAAAGTTTTTAGGTGGTAAGTCTGGCAATTTTTCTGTAACGGTAGTCCTTGGCTGGTGAGGTTCCAAAACTTAAAATAAATAAAAAATTGAGACAATTTTGATTAATTTAAAATATTCCTAAATTATATCTAAATGATTATCGTCAAATAATCTCGATAGGATTATCAAGACATAATTATAATGTCCACTGCCTAATTATTCCAATTTTCCATCTTTTTATTGAAGGATTTTAAATCACCCATACCTTCAGCAATTACAGATCCAGAAACTTTTTCATTTTCTTTAACATCCTTATTTTCCTCATAATCACCCAATTCTTCCAATTCCTTCATTAAATCAGTTGATTTTAAAGGGCCATTCTTCGTTCTAGTATTCCCTCTCTTTTTATTACTAGCTGTCCCGTCAATAGCACCCCCATCCGTTTTTATAATTCCAACTTTTTCTTCACTATTTTGTACTTTTTCTAGCGCTGAATCAATTGAAGCTGCAAACTTTTCTTTAATTTTAGCCGTTGTTTGTGGACTAAAATTTTGAGAAAATTGAAAGTTTTTTATATCGGAGTTAAATTACGGTATTAAAGTTGGAAATTGTGTCGATTCAACAATAGCAGGTTCTACTCTAGTTTGTTCCGTTCTTTCGTTAGAGTCCAAATCCTCAATAGGAACAGGAGTGCCTTTTGCATTAGGTGAATCTGGCGGGGGCAGAATTAATTGAAAAGGAGGTTGGAAGTTTGGAATGACTAAAAATGTTGAATGAAAACGAATTTTAATTATTTTTAGCAAGACTGTCCGCAAATACGGATTTTGTGCAAATTTATTTTTTATTTTACATAAAAGCTATAAATGCGTACAGTCATGGCTGGAAGTTACAAGAATATAAAGGAATAATATTTTGGATTCTAAAAAAATTAATTTCTAAGTAACCCCGAACAATACCAATTTTGAACACCCACAACTAGGTCCTTGCTCATTTCCTCCATCATTTTTGTCAGTTTTTTCAAAATTTCTAAAGCTTCCCTCGGTTGTAGGACGTTTATTGTTTCCTCCAAATACTCCAAAAAACTTCTCATCCGGATTAGGCAGATTAACTCCAGGGAGATCAATGGAACCTCCAAATGAGGTTACTGATGAAGGAATAGCTGGGATAGGTGGAGAAGGAAAGTTCTAAAAATTTTTAAAAATAATTATATCCTGGGACAGGATCCCTGCGGACATAATCTAACGCATGTGAATTATAAAATTAAGTTTTCGAATATTATAGCTCGGTATATGTTCGAGTATGACATAAAATAAGCGAACACTTGACGAGTAAAAATCCGATTATCAAACGTGATCAACATAGTATTGAGGGAATTCTAAGGCTATAGACATTGGATGATTTTAGACGAATTTATAATCCTACTAGTAGCGGTTAGGATTATAAATATATAATGTATATATACTATTTAAAGCCTACCGTTGGTACTTTAGAAGAACTAGACGAAGGAAATGCTGAGTTTAAACATAAGGCAGTTGAAGTTGATAAAGACGCACAGAGCTGGGCACAATTACTCCTAATTCGATTTGAGCAGCAAAAACTCGAAGGAATTCTATGGCAATCTAATTGAACTCTTGAGAGTTCTGGAAGGGGTGGAAGGGCCATACAGTACAAGAAAATATTTATTATTATAAGTATAAAGGGAAATAAAGAACAGATAATACAAGATAACATTTGTTATATTCCAATAATATAACAATAATTTGAACCAAATAGATTTTACCAAATATCCAAAATTATTAAATATTTTATTCCAAGGTTTAAAAAATACAAAGTTTTAATATTAAAGGGGAATTTAAAAAGGAAGAGTGAAGAAGTTAAAAATATAGGGAATATAAATCAGCTTAAATAGGGCCAAAAATGATACATTTTTTTAGAGGGAAAAGATAAAAATTGAAAAGATGATTGGGCGAAAATATGTGAACATAAATATTTTAAAAATATAAAAACAACATGATTAATAGAAAAGTTTAAAAATAAATATTAAATATCTTTATAAAAATTGCGTTTCGGCGCAACACTCCGCGCAGAAAAAATGTTGAATAATTTGAAGAGTAAAAAACGTGTTAAGCAGGGAAGGAAGCAGTAGCCGATAAGGACAAAACAAAACAACGCTAATAATAAAATTAGGAGATAGCGTGGAAAAAATAAAAATTTAAGTAAATGATTTAAATCAATATCCATTAAGCTTTGCATTTTAGTGCTATGTTTCTGTGCCCATTTTGTTTCCATTATTTCTTCTGGGTGATTTAATATCCCTTTAAGTTCAAATTTTGAGTACGAAGATCCACAAAAAATTTCGCATGTTTCTTCAATTTGTGAGTGAGTTAAATGTACTGAAAGATTTCTAGTTTCTCCTTTAGGCACACAAGTTGTAAATGTCGTTAGAGAAGGACAAACAATATTACCTAAGGAGTTTCCAAAATCAGTTTTACAAGTTAGCTCTAGTTTTGCGCCGCGATTACATTTGTAGCATCCGATTAATTTAACATTTGTTACTTTACATTTATTTGCGAGAATTTCTGTTTTGAGTGTTAATCCTTTAATTTGTGTTTGAATTTGAGCGGCGGAAAAATCAGGCGAGACTTTAATTGTGCCGTGGTCCACGTCAAGTAGTATACCGTTATGCTCAAATGGCAATGTTAAATCTCTTTTAAAAAGCTGTCTAGTTTCTAACAATTCATAACACAGACAAGCTACATTATGGTCGGCCGAGTTACAATCACACGATAGTGGATCTAATTTACATTCATTAAATTTAATGGCTGCCGCTTTTGAGGAACATTTAAAACTTCTCAATTTATCTTCACTTTCCGATTCAAGAATTGCAACTCTATTTTCATCCGACACGAAAAGTTGATTGAGTATAGGAAGAGGAGCAACTGTCATGCTTGTGGCGGTTATTCGAAGATCGTTCCATTCTGTCGTAAATCCGGGTTTTAGCGAAATTAATTTTTCTTGTTTATCATTTTGAGTTTCAATTATAATTTTTACATCCAGTTCAAGATCCCATTTTGGACATCGAAAAATTTCAAGTATTTTATGGTCATTCGTTGGTACGGCAGAAAAGCGATAAAATAAACAGGCAGGGTCGACATAAAAACAACCATTTGCCCAACCGCCTTCAGTTTCCATACACCTTGTGATACCTGGGAATTTTTGATTTTCCATGTTTAATTCAATAATTGTATCATTCATTTTAATGGAACTACATTTTTGATTAATACAACTCCCTGTATGGGCACACCTCCACCCCGAAATTACTTGTATATCGTAGGAGCGTGAAAAGTATTTTATTGTTTTAACACAGGATGCTTTTAAGCGATGTAAAATAAATTTCATGGATCCTACAAAATTGTCTTGGTAATCTTGCAATATTATATCTATTTCTTGGTCAGTGGGATTAAAGCTTATTTCGAGAGTTTTTTCAAAGAGGCAGTTTCTAACCCCTGTTTTGTCTAGTATGCATTTTTCTTCATCGGCTGTGATAGTTGTAAGACACACAGCTCTTTGTAGTGAGCTAACAAAAATAATTATTGCAATCGTGACTTTCATTGGTAATCGATTTTTACTATTATTTTTTAGAATTTTAATTTTTTCTATTTTTTCCCTATTCTCCGTTTTTGGCTTTTTACAACATTTTATGAGAAATCGAATTAAGGACCATTTTCTCTTTAATATCCAAATAATAGCGGAAATTATTGCGATTGTAATTTTGCCAACAAAGTAAATTATATTAGAAAATAAATACACTGCAAGAGCTACTATAATCATAGCCAGTTCGGGGTTGCATTTAGGGTTGGTTAATCGTTCAATACATAAGTTACATTTTATTAGTACACACATATCTAATGGTTTGCATTTAATCCCTTTTTCTTTTATATTTTGACCGTTATTAAAGAATTTAATTGTTGCTTCAAACCCATTTATTAAGTCTTCCTTAGGTAATGTAATTTCTTGTGTAGTGTCGGGAAAGCGTATATAAATGCATTTTTTCAAACAAATTTCTATTCCGTTTATTTCTTTATTTATTTTTATTGATAGTCCTTCTTTGGCGCACTCTATCTCGCATTCCTTACATCCTTTTTCATTTTCGTTTTTAAAATCGTATACTCTTTTTGAAATTTCACCCCACGCTTTAATGACGACTTTACCGTGATTTGAAACAAAATATGCCACTTCATTTTTCGAATAAAAACAAAATTTTTTCCCATTTTCAGAACATGCGTGTTTAGAACAGTATAGAGGTGATCCAGTTGTTTCCCCAACCCCAAAACAAATAAACTCGTCATTTAAATTTTCTTTCATTTCTATTTTTAATTCATTGACTAGATGTTTCGTACCATCATATAACTCGATTTGTTTAAATTTTTTAATTTCAGAAAAGTTTTTACAATTTTCTTTATACTCAAATGAACATATTTTTGGCCTATTGTTTTCTATAATATTTTTTACATTTGGGTCATTGGCTGTTGATCTTTTTATCTCTAATCCTTTATAAAACGAACACTCTATTGCCCAGTCGGGACAGACACAAGCCGGGTTGCAATTTCCTTTTCCACACTCATTTCTTTTCCAACAAAAAGTGCCGCCCGCACGCTTGTGTATAGAAAAACCGTTAACGATACATTCGTCGTCAATTTGTATTCTTTTTGTTTCCTCGTGTGATTTACACGGACTTGCAGCAAGGTTTAGACACAGAGATAAAAAGATCAGTATTGTGAGTGTAATAGAGGCAGAAAGTGTATTAGGTTTAAGGATTGCTGCACCTTTATTTTTGTTTTTATTATTCCCAATCGATTTATTTTTAACAATTTTTTGTCCCTTTTTAGTAACGTCTTCGTCCAAAATATTTTTTGAATAAAAATCTGCTCTCATTCTTTTAAAGTCATTATTTAACCTTTCATTTTGTATTTTTAATGTTTGAATTTCTTCATTACGAGTTTTTTCAAGCTCGGTTATTTTTTCATTCACATTATTTAAAATTAATTTTGTTTCTTTTAATTCATTTTGTAAATGTGAGATTTCTATTTTATTATTATTAATCAAATTTTCATTCGCCTCATTATCGATTTTAAGTTTAGAAATTTCATCTTTACTAGTTTTTATTTCCCTTTTCAAAATTTTATTTTCATCTTCTAAAGTTTTATATTTATAATCATAAGATTTATCTCTTGGTTGCCTATCCTGTCTTTTAATTTTTTTATCGAATGATTTTTCCCCGCGTTGCCAATCATGACTTGAACTAGTTTGATAATCACAATCATAATCCATATGCGAGCCCCCACAAAATTTACAAGGTCTCCACATTATTGGCTCATCCTCAAAATACATACAAATTTTTGCGCTTTCCATTGAATTATTTTCATTATTGATCAGAAAATTTATGTCTGCATTATCTGTTTCATTATAATTTATTCTCTTTCTTTCTCTGAGGGCCATTGGATGGGTTCTTCCCTTTGGATGTGAGTCAATACTATTATTTATTTCCAATTCTTTGTTTTTCTCTTCATCTTCTATTGTCAATTCTAAGGGATATAAAAGAGCGATGGCGCGAGTAATGATTTTATTTTTACACAAAACTTTCGCGGAGCGATACAATCCATCTCTGCTCTTGATTAAATATTGTATTTTGCCTAAACTCCAAAAATGTTTTGGGAGATTTGAATTTTGAATAAGCACTAGTTCTCCAACTTTTGGTGAATAATTTTTTCTGTGTTGTTTTTGCGCGTGCCTATTTGTTCTTTCTTTAATATCATTTAAATATTCCTTTTCAAATTTTTCCCAAAATGTATTTACTATTTTATTTGTTTCTTTCCAATTATTAATTATTGTTATTTTTTGGGAAACCTTTTCATCATAATTATCTGTCTCAAAATCTTCAAAATTAATCCCTTGTTTAATCCTTGTTGGGTGAACTAAATCTATTGGACGCAATACTTCAATTTCTTCCAAATCATTATACAAATAAGTAAGGGGACGAGAATTGATTACGTATTTTATTTCTGGCAATAGTGTTCTGAGCTCTTCTATATTTAACATTTTTCGGCCAACAGAATTTTTAAGAGCCTTTTTCATAATTTTTACTATTGATTCATACACGCCACCGAACCAGGGAGAAACAGCGGGTATGAATCGCCATTCAATTTTTTCACAATCCAAATTCTTTTCAATTTCATTTATTACTTTACTAGTCAATCTATATTGGGTTCCATTGTCGCTTAAAATCAATGCCGGTTTTCCATATTCCGCTATAAACCGCCTTAGAGCTTGAACACATGTATTTGCGGAAAGGTCAGTAATTAGCTCTAAATGCGAAAATCTTGTTGTTAAGCATGTAAATATTTCTATCCATATTTTAATTATTTTATTTTCTTGTGTTTTTACATGAAATGGGCCTGCATAATCTAACCCTGAATTTTTAAAAGGTGAGCATCTTTTTATTCTTTCTTCGGGTAATATTGGCATTTTTGGTATTTCAAAAGGTTTTAATAATTGTTTTCGGCATTGAAAACATTTATTAATCGTACTTTTCATTTTTTGTCTTCCTTTTGTTATCCAAAATGATTGTCTTAATTCACACAAACTTTGTCTTAATCCACTGTGCATTGATCGTTTATGGTATTCTAAACAAATTTTTTCGGAAATAGGAGAATAATATGAGACATAAACTGGTGTGGGAATTCCTGAAGATTCAACGCGTCCTGGACAGACCCAGATTCCAAATTCATTTTTTCTCATATATAACTCAAAGATTTCTTTTTCTGTAGGTTTATTTTGGTTTTGAGCTTCTTTTAGAATTAATACTTCACCGAATTTTCGAAGACCGACATTTGTTTTAGTATTTTTTAGTGCAATGAAAAATTGAGTTTTTAAATTAATATTTTTAATTATTTTCTTTAAGAATTTGCAAATTATTGTTCCAATTGTAATTGTTTTATTCCACTCACTTCGCGCATCTAAATTCATTATTTTTTCTGTTGTGACATTCATTATAAATTCTATTTTTGTCTCTTTAGGGCTGGCTAGTTTTTCAAATTCTATTGCTTTCGGCCATTCATTTTTACCCTTTCGAAGGAATGTTGGACCTTGCCACCAGCTTTTCTTTTCTGTCAATTCATTACATGTTAAACCCCTAGTTGCGACATCAGCTATATTTAATTCAGTGGGGACATATTTCCAAACCAAATTTTTGTTTTGATTTATTTCTTCTATTCTTCTTTTTATAAATCGTGGCTGTTTTTCTTTGTCGCTAATTAATATCCAATTTAGTACAACTTTACTATCAGACCAAATAAATATTTTTTCTAATTCAATGTCTGACTCCTTTTGTATGAAATCACTCAATCGTTTACCTGCAATTGCGGCCATCAATTCCATTTTTGGAATTGTAAGACGAGATTTTAACGGGGCCAATCTCCCCTTGGCCATAATAATTGAAGAAAAAATTTTATTTAAATCATATTCAACTCTTATATAAGCGACTGCGGCGAAGGCGTTTTGTGAAGCATCTACAAAAATGTGCAGTTCACTCGGACCCTTTTCTTTTAAAAGCTGTCTTCTAAATTTAAAAGTACCGTAATCGTCCTTTATTTTTTCAATTTCTTTTATATGTTCAATCGATATTTCGTCATCCCAAGTCTTTTCTTTATCTACCCATAGTTTCTGTAATAATAATTTTCTACATAAATTTGCTGGGAGAAGAACGCCCATGGGGTCAAAAAGTTTTGCGATTTCTTTTAGAATCGATCGTTTTGTCCATTTTTCTGGCGTCTTAATTTTTTTCATTTCAACAATCAATGCATCTTTTTTAACATCCCAACCAACTCCTAATATTTTTGTATTATTTTCTAACGCTTTATCTCCAAAATTTTTATTAATTATTTCGGAATTTGAAATAAATTCTTGTAGCGGCATTTGAGCTTCTTTAAAAATTTCTATTACTTTTTTACATTTATTCAACCCTTCTTCAGTTGTGATTGCAGAGAAAAAAATATTATCGGCGTATATTCCTCTTCTTAATTCTCTTCCAAATTCTCCGGCAGTCTTTTCCAAATGTAAATTTATTACTGCTGCAAGGCAAAAAGGTGCTGCAGAAATTCCAAATGGCATTTTAGTCCAACGCCAGTAAGCCA